GGAGGATTGTATTGAATGCTGAACTGAAGTCTATAAACAGCATTCTGGCGTATGTGTTGTTGTTGTCCAGGTGTGAGAGGACAGAGTGCAGTGCGATGGAGACTGCATCCTCTGTGCTCCATGGATCACAGGATCACCATGGTAACACCAATACTGTTACACTGTGTGTGTGTGTGTGTGTGTGCGTGTGTGCGCGTGTGCGCGTGTTTACCTGTGTGAGCTGGAACAGGTGTACCAGGTAACAGAGGGGGATGGAGCTCCCTCGCTCACACACAGCACAGCGTTACTCCTGACCTCTGACAGGGATGTGATCCTGGGTGGAGCTACACACACACACACACACACGTGTTATTAAAAAGTCAAATGTGCCCTCTGTTTAAATGCATACACAGATGTCTGCTAGGAGGCGGAGCCTGAGGTCATGTGATAATGTTACTCCTCAGCTCACACAATACACTCGTTACTGAGCATGCACACAAAAGGTCTGTAAATGACAGCATGATGTCACATGATGTGGCATACACACCTGGTGGCCGTGTGGCTCACCTTGTACCTCCAGGTTGAATGTAGCCTCTCTGATGTCGTCATCATTGGAAATAGTTGCGGTGTAACTTCCTGTCTGATCCATCTGCACGCGCACCAGCGTCAGTGTGCTCACATACCTAATCAATCAAACATTTAGCTCCTCCTCATTTTAGCAACCATTAGCACATATGCCAGGGCTGTTGCATTAATAAATACACTTGGGGGATAAATCACTGCGAAAACACACCCGTCAACTATGCAATAGTTTCTTTTCTTTTTTCGTTTTAACTGTGGAATATTTCCAAGGAACTGTGCAATATTCTAAGGTCTGAAGCCCTGTGCGGCAACCGTATTCTCACTTATTCATTCTTATATAAAGTCTTGTACATACTATATTTATTTATTTATTTATTTGTTTATTTGTTTAAAATTTATTGCACACATAAACTTCTTTCCTTTTAAAGTGCCCTTTTTTCACTTGTGCTGAATGGGTTTTCTTACAATTTTTGTTGTTTGCAAACACAATGACAATAAAGATTCTGATTCTCCTCCTCATCTGAGGTCTGACCTCTGACCTACCGGCTGTCTGACAGGTGTGTGGTGTTGATAGTAGAGGTTTCTGTGGCAACAGATTGGTTCTGTCTCGTCCAGATGATGGTGGGGGCGGGGTGGGCGTCAATATCTACACTTAATTCCAGCGTGTGATGGAGGAGAGATGACACATTGGTCTCACCTGAGGGCCACAGGTAAACGTAACCTCGGTCTGCAGAGACATGGAGACACACACTTTACATGTGTGTGTCTGTTCTATGTGTGTGTCTGTTCTATGTGTGTGTGTGTGTGTGTGTGTGTGTGAGTGTGTATGTTTGCTGACCCAGCACTGTTATTGTGATATTTTTCATCACAGTTTGTCCCTGTGTTGTCTCCTGCACCGTGCAGCTATAAACACCTGCAGGAACAGTACGGCATTATTTCCCTCAGCACAGTTTCTCAGCAAGCTGCACACCTTTACCTGAGCCACCGAGCGCCCTACCTGAATCTGCCACTGTTGCTGCAGTGATGTTAACAAAGGAGCGGATCTGATTGGGCAAGAAGTCCGTCAGCGGCTCAATTTCCTGCAAAGAAAAATCATCATAGTTAGGTGACACCAGACAGACAGGTAGGCAGCCAGGTACAGACAGGTACAGGTGGGTAAGCAGACAGGAAGGCAGACAGGTACAGACAGGTACAAGTGGGTAAGCAGACAGGAAGACAGACAGGTACAAGTGGGTAAGCAGACAGGAAGACAGACAGGTACAGG